GAGCGAAGACTTTCGTAGATTACCGGAAATTTCTGAGTATGAGCGGCCGGCTATAGCCAGCCGGCCGTGCGAACGCTTTTGCGAGGCTTATATCTCACTTCTCAGCAACCACTTGACCGATTTACATGCGGTAATTTTTGTAGGGCAGTTTCATTCCTTCTACCAAGTATTGGACTATTCCCGATGCATTGTGGGTGACCTCTTATGCACGTGCCACGTGCAAAATGAAGAAGTGTCAGTTTCGTAACAATTGTAATAGCTCGGTAACTACTGGGCAGATTGCGCTGAAAGTTGACATGTAGGTAGGCAGCCAGCAGGCAATGCATATCCATGTGCCACAGTTAGGGTGCTCTTGCATGTGCGCACGTGCAGGACGCACGAGTCGATTCCAGATCTCGAGAACATCTGAACCGATTGCGCTGATACATGGTGGGGAACGGTGAGTAGGGTGCCGGGCAAAAGTCGGTTGGGACCCAGATGGCAACAGTGGCGTGCAGCGCCACTATTTTTGCTACACCTGTTTATAATCTTTTCCTTACATGTTGTCAAAAGTTCAGACCCTGTTCTTTCAATTTCGACTAATAAATATTTCGGCAAATTAGCATTTCGGCGAATTTCGACACTTTTCGGCAAATCGACATTTCGGCAAATTGACATTTCGATTAATTGACATTACGGCAAATTAGCATTTCGGCAAATGGACATTTTCGACTTATTGCACGTCGGCAAAAAGGCATGTCGGCAAATTGCATTTTGACTTTTAGCACTTTGCCTTTTTGACACGTCGGCAAAAAGACACGTCGGCAAAATGCACTCGACATATTGACATTCGGCGAATAAGCATTCGGCAAAACGCAGTTCAGCATATTGTCCTGTAACCGAAGCATGAGCATTACGCATGCTTTTCACCTAAGTATCCTTTACGTTTTGGCTCATAAGACGTCACACAAAATGTTGCATCGTCTTACATCCGTGGTCTCCAAACGTCGGTCGGCTTCGACCAGACTCTAAAGCCATGTTGGGACAGGCTGCTCCCAATCCCCCTCAACCCCCTGGGTCCGGTTGTCGTGGCTCTTCGACCAGAAGTCGGTTGGGCGCGACTTTGTCACGGATGTAAGTAGTAAGTACCAAGCTAAAAGTCGCTTATACAGCTCGTAACCAAGGCGCTTCAGCTGATTGTCTGTCATCAGTATTCATCCTCCAGTGAGGTGAACTATCAATGGCCGAATTTAAGGCTTTCGTCAACCGTAGAGGTCAGTGCTCAGCAGTGCAGCAGTCAGCAATAATTGATAAACCAATCGTCGTAGCTAAAAATAATAAAGATGCGGCAGCGGCAGCAGGGATGCGGAGCCGGAGCCGGAGCCGCTGGAGCCGGCACATTTTACCCGGAGCGGGAGCCGGAGCCGTGGAACAATATAGCCCGGAATTGGAATCGGAGCCGGAGTCGTCAAAGAATTGAGAACTCCGGCTTAATTTTTTCTTTAAGAGGAAAAAATCCCAGCAACTCTGAGTGAGTGCAGGACGAGGCGGGTTTCCTGGTTCCGGTCATTAACCACGAGTATTTCTTTCTGAGAAAGATGCCTAGACATAACATTTCGCTGCGTGCTTATGTAAATACCCTCTTCGCTGATTGCATGTGTTGTTGAGAAAATGAAATTGTTATGGGCACGGGCGTCGCCACAGATTTTTGAGTGGGGGGAGGGTCGGGTTTCCGGTCTTCGTCTTGATGGGTAGGGGTGTTTTTAGCCACACTCCCGGTTTTTTCGTGAAAGTGAACTCGAAAACGCTCGAAAAAGTGAACCGAGGTCACCAAAGGTCAATGACCTGACCTGACCTTCAGGTGACCCTGACATCCACCCAAATGCATGGGAGCAGCATCAAATCACATGTTTGAGCGTTTGAAACCACGAGAAGCTTGCAAACGCGCGGCTAATGTGAGCCGACATACGCCGAATCGCGATTCCGGCAAAACATGGGTTCGAGAAATAGGTCACAGGTCAAAGGTCACTTGGGTCAGGGTCATGAAATTTTCAGAGTAGGTGTAAAATTGATCACCTCGAGGGTACTGAAAGTTTCGTCGGTCGCGATGGGCCGCTTTTTACGCGAGTTATTCGCGAAAAACCATGGGGGGGGGGTCCATCCGACCGCCCCCTACACATGCGAGGGTTAACATGCCTTTCCTTACGATTCACGGAAGTGTTTTCTGATTGGTCGAGGCTGACCTCTGTTGTGACGTCACAGGTCATTATCCACTCAGGTGGCTATTCACATGCCAAATCTATCATATACATCGTATCCAGACTCATTTCGAAAACTTAGATGTCATTTTTATGACCGACTTCTCGTCATTATAAATTGGACTGATTTGACATTCTTTGACCTCCCTGTGACGTCACAGGTCAAATATCAAGGTCATCAATATCCTATCTTGTGCATCGCGATGAGCTCTTTTGAATGCCGTTTGAATTTTTTGGATCCGGCTATTGGTTCCGGAGCTACGACGCGTCGTAGGCAAAGGCCCCCCCCGTCGCGACGGGGGGGGGCCTTTGCCCCCCCTCTCCAGGACGTGGAACCTGCCAGACCTCAACGGGGCGCGGGTTAAATTTCTACGGTTCCGCATCCATGTGCGGGACGCACAAGGCATTGCCAAAATTAATATTCCAGTTATTAAGGAGAATTTAACAGGTGAATTACGGTGGTGGAGGCTACCAAGCTATCTTTGTTGACGTGATTGACGTACTGGCGATGCATAAATGACATTTCTGAGAAATATTGCGAGCGCTATGACGCATAGCTAAGTGTCAATTTCGGCTCCAATTAATAGGAGATTCGCATCCATTACTATTCCCATTCCATGGGGACATCCTGATCACTATAATCGCTAAAGGGACCAGACCCAATTATGTGCTTCCTCGAATGCTCGAGATAGCATCCAATTTGCACCCTGCCCGCAGCCCCGGGATAGAGAGGCACTTAGCTAGTCTGTCACCACCGCCCATACCGCTAAGACCAAAGATTAGCGTGCCGTGGGCTATTATGAGATGCTATCTGACTTGAAGCCCAATAGCTCTCTTTGTCAAAATTCGAGATAATAAACGTCAAAGGAAGCTGTAATTTCGAGTTTTCAGTAATCATTTAATTTCAGCAAGACAATTTCAGCAAGCATACATAAGCAATTATGTACGATTAGGCAATGTTACGCAACATTTAGGCAACGATTAGGCAATGTTACGCAACATAAATAAAATAAATAAAAGTTTTGCCTACAACTTTTATTTGTCCAAGTTTGATTCAGAAGTGTTCAAGGTGCTCATTTGTTTTTTCTACGATAAAGCAGACAAAACAACAACAAAAATCAACGTGGCATTCCATAGCCGTTAGCATGCCACTAGCGTTGGACACTGCATGAACATTGAACACCTAACCGCGTCAAAACAATCTTTCTGTAGTTTCCGGGTCCAGTCCCAGACCCGGAAGTCAGCCTAGCCGAGGTCGCTTTCCACAGTCGACCTGGAGCCAGCCGGAAATTCAATCGAAGAACGTCCTCCAGGCTCAGTGACGAATGTGAACCCAGCCCCAGCCGGCGAGTAGGCGCTGCCGCTTCAGCCGACACGAATTGCACACCAGAATGGATTGTGCTGGGATTACCAGTGATTGCTGGGTTGTTTCAGATTGTGTTTTCTGCCCTCGAAGGCATTACCGAAGTGCGGGCTTCTGTCGCTATAGGCTTGGGCCTTCCTGTGTTATCGCAGCTCGACAAAGTCGATAGCAATCTTTGCTTGAAGTGTTTTTCTCGCGCAAACAGATCCATTACTCGTTCAGTCTAGTAATTGAACAATTAGTCCATTTTGTATTGCGACTGAAAGCGTAACAGCAACTCAGCCATATTTCTGACTGTCCGGTAATGTCTAGCTGTCCTGTCCGGTATTTTCCGGCACCCCACTCAGCGCTACTGCGCCACCGGTCGCCCCCAAGCGATTCAGACCGAGTGCTTTGCTCGCCAATCGGCTGCTTCCCACGGCCGAATTCAGCGGCACCCAATGCCGGCGACTGAGCCGAGTTTCAGTGGCGCACAGACGAGATATACGCCTGCCACTCTGTCAGACATAAATGAAATATAGTCGGCACGGGAAACAACGGCGGCATGACCTGCAGTGGGGAGCCGGCGAGCTCCGCGCGCGAGAGAGAGGTTCCATGAACTGCAATTGGTCTCGATTCTGAGGGTCCATCGGGGAGGACTCATGAGCAGGTGCATAGACTATCAAAAGGCCTTCATATCGCTTTTTCAATATACCGAAAGTAATCGCTGCAGAATATGTTGCAGACATATTCTGCAACATATTCACATGGATTCTTGATCTTGATCCATGATCCTTGAATCCAGAATATGTTGTTCACATGGATCCTTACACCCTTGTTGGTACAAAGACATGAATATGTTCATCTCCCTCTCCCCCACCCCACCCGTCAGAGGGCAGTCGTTTCCGAGTGCCTCTGTACGCACGTCTCTGCCCGGCTGTTGTTTCAACTATGGACGGCTCACTGAGCGAGCTGCACAGTATATAAACAGACACGGACAGAGCAAACATCGCTTACTGGAGACAGAGGCGCCAACAGACGGACAAACAAACGGTGTCAGACCCGCCCCGACATCACTACGCACTCAGTGACTTGCTCGGCACACTGCCATACTCATATGTTCGCCCATTTGTCCCATCTATCTTTTCACACACGATACAGAAAATCAAGGATAAAAGGCATCCCATGTGGATATTGAATATCAAAATTGTTGTATCCATCGCCATCATTATTTTGCACCGCTTAGAAGTATTGAACAATAAAAAGGCGGATTTATCATGGACATTGTTCTCATCAGAATTGATGAATGGTCACAAGATCTTTTGAAAAACAAGCGCGACAAGAACACTTGTAAATGACTGGATTCCTGCTTATGCAGTTACACATACCTACCGACGCGAGACTGAGTCTGCTCCACCCACCTGTTTTGAACTGGGTGCCGGTCACGTACTGAGTGACAAAGTTGACCACGCGTCGGTACAGAGACCGCTCCCGCCGGCCCTGCACACCCTTCTTGGAGTAGTGTCGGCTGGAGCCGCCGCCGTTACCATGGCCACTGACAGAGGCGTACATGACGCTGCCACGTCACCGTTCAATATCCTCAGCTCGGCCCAGCTCAGGTCAGGTCAGGTCAGGCTGCTGGTCACTCGACAGCAATACTGACTTAGCCATTATTCTTACCACCAATTTTGCAGTGATGTTATAAAATTTACATAAGCTTAACGCTGGGTGTGTGGCACACTTCATGCGCCACTGACCACAGCATTGACCCCTGCGCGGCCTTCACACCGACTCAGAGCTAAGCGTGGACGGCACACTGATTTCCGGATAAAAATCTTGACACGTGCCAAAGGGTTTAAAACTGAGCCATCTTCGCTGCGGCGTTCCAGCCGGCTTAGTTTCTGTGACGTCCTTGATGTGACACTCCTGCCCGAGTGACGGCAATGATGTGACACTCGTGCCCGAGTGAAGCGGATCGCTGTCGGAGGCTGTTCGCCGACTTCGTTGGCTGGCTCGTGAGACTTTAAGTAGGCGATAACACGTGACACCTTCAGATTGACACGATGGTGCACCCTCTGTAAGTAAATGCTGCAGGTTACATCATCGACCTCGGGCTCACATTAGAATCCGGGTCAGGTCAGCTAGGGAGGTCAGCAAGAGTATCTAACCGCTGTAAAAAAGTTCTATTGCGCTTTTCCCACACAGAGAGTTCAACTGAATCTCGCATTTAAAATCCGTCCAAGGTCAGATCAGATCAGGTCAGGCCAAAGGGCGCCATCAGGTCATAATAGAGTATATAGGGTGCTGTGTCCGTATTTATTTGCTATTATAGTTCGCGATACTATTTGAATCTCTTTTTACTGCAAATATATGTTTGTTCTGTCATTTGAAAAAAATGTGAACGCGGCGTCCCACGCACCGTGCGGTGACCACGCCGCGGTCGGTCCGGCGGCGTCGCGCTGTTGCGCACCACTGGAGCGGCGCGGTCGCTCCTTTAATCAGCGGGTAATGTCTGTCCGCGGACAGATGGGTGGGCCGCTGGCAACATACGCCCCCGGCGAGACGGATCGCCCTAATTGGTGCACGGCGGTGAACCGAGCCGCGCCCGGTCAGAGTGGCGTCGACCCACACGGTGACCGCACCACCGCACTATGGTTGGAAACGGCCTCACGGATGGCCGGGGGTCAACGCGAAAAAATGTTTTGCCCATAACTTGTTAATGCGTAGACCGACTGCGATGAAACTTTGCATAGGTATACCAGTGTCTTTCGTGCATCATACAGTAACTCAGAAATGACGAGGTCACGTCACGTCACGCGTGTGTGACGTCATCATTGCAAGTATGTCATAAGTCGCCTATGTCTTTCGTTATGTTATCGATATCGTGAGGCATTTTGAACATGTTTTGAATACTGCTATTACTGAATGGATATTGTTGTTATGCTTTAGGGCGAGAAATATCAACGTAGTGACGCACAGTGTCTTACTATTGGTCATAAAGGGTCACAAATTTGGAGAAAGAGTATTTATGATTTTTTTTTTAGATTAGGCAAAAAAGTAAGAAATAAAATGACGATCAAATGACAAAACATGCGTCAGATTAACCCGGCAGTTGCTGGGGCATTTCCCCATCCGCCGTTTGCCGGGGGGGGGGGGGGGCGTTCAACGCCCCCAGCCGATAACTCGCGAACAAATAGGCGCAGCGAAACGCACGAGGCGCGGCAAACGAAAGAAGAACGCGACGAGACGATTCACATGAATACTTTAAAGCTGAATTTCGAGGTCACAGGTCGGGTCAAGGTCAGGTCAAACACTTGAAATCGGGCTTTCAGTAGCATGGACTTTAGAACCTCGCAATCGGTGCCTCGCGTTTCGCGTTTCGATTATATCGTCATCAGTTGGTCCTAAATAAATTCAGTCATCAGTTGGTCCTAAACAATCTGTCACAACTGTCACAACTGTCACAACCCTTCATATAAGTGCTAAAAGAGTGTCAGATCAATGTAGGGGTCAGTCAAGCATAGGCCACTGGCCAGGGTCAAAGTCAGGTCAATCAGGTAAGCACATAACCCCGAAAATTAAAACTGGTACCTATCCGCAGCCCATGCATGACACATGTTTTATGGGTACTTTTGGGCGTAGAACACGATGGTGACATTCATTTTATCATACGAGTACGTGGCTGGTTGAAAAAAGATCAATTTCAGAAATGCATGCGTCATGGTCGTGAAGTAGTCACGAGAAATTGCCAACATTCAGTTCAAGATTTTGGAAACTGTAGAACGATGATCAAAAACCATAGATAGCCATTTGATTTGCCATGGTATTGGCAGTGTAATGGAGTTTACAGCATGTCTGTATGTCTGTTCTGTCAGTGGATATCCATATCCATACTCCAGGATATCCATACACGTTTGCACGATATTCATACTCCAGGTGCAGGGGCGAGCAGTTACTTCTTACGAGGGGTGCGGAGTCGAAGTCAGAGTCGGAGTCGGAGTCGGAGTCGGAGTCAGAGTCGCCCAGAGTCGTGGCAACGAGCCAGGAGTCGGAGTCGGAGTCGGGGTCGGTCAGGAGCCCGCAGTGGAAGTCGGAGTCGGTCCGAATCGGAACAGCTCCATCGCGACTCCGAAACACTGGCAGGGGTCCGGAGTCGGAGACAGAGTCGGCCGGAGTCATGGCAACGAGTCAGGAGTCGGAGTCGTAGTCGGAGTCGGATTTGGCGCCACCACGACTCCGCAACCCTGCTTCTTACCATCATTTATAAGGATAAGCGATTGCAAGACTGACGAGCCGACCTGGTGCTAACGAAGCGACGGGTAGGTACGCCTCGGGAGATGACGCTTCACGGACGATTTTGCGCACAAGTGCGCAGTCTGCTTTTACGTTCCCCTTACGCAGAATTGAACAGCGATTTATTCTGCCAAAAAGCTCAATGGAGGTCGATGGAGAACTTTTTGTATGTCCAATGAAACATAAACGCAATTTTGCAAATATTGCTGTGGTGACACTGCAAACAGAATGCAATGCCGTTCCTGATTTTGAACACGCATGGGAAAAAGAGTCACTCCACTCGATAGCCAACATAACAAGGATTATTTTGATATATAATAATCCAGTTTTACAACGTCATGGAGGTACTCCACATGCTATCACCAGCGCGGTTGTTTAAACCTTTGACGGCGCACCAAAAAAGTCACTGTCAGAAACTCCCGATTCCACGTACAATAATGGAGACTAAATGCGCAACTAAATAATTTTTTCTGCCCAATTCAAAACATTTCATCAATTTGCAACAGAATGACACCCCAAATATACATATATTCCGAAATTGCCCACGGCCATCCGTGAGGCCGTTTCCAACCATAGTGCACCGGCTTGATGGCAATGTCACCTCGATCATGTCACGGCCCGGAGATCGGCAGCAGCAGTCACATGTTACCATGGTAACGCTAATCTAGCGCCTGCTGGGTTGACGTGGATACTTAGTCCCGGATATAAAAAGACGGTCGCTTCGTCATGCGTGATGTGTTTCTTTCACTCCGTCTACATTGGTAAGTGTTGTAGACTGGCGGAAACTCACTATTCTTAGCAAAGCTAGCCCAAATCGATCTAATTCTAATCAAAACATATTAGTTCACAATCCATGATTCCCAGAATGTCTATTTCATGAATAGACATGACACAGCGACAAATGCAAAATACGTATCACCACGTGCGTGTTCCGTCAGCAACCTCTCAGCATACGGAACATCCTCCCCCAAGGGAAATCTCCCCAGTGACTGAAACTGTCCACTTGCCAACCGACAACACGCGGTGCAGACAATGGACACTTCAGCAGCAGCCTACAAAGCGAGGTGTGGCCGGCCGGTGCTGTTCATCTGGGGCTGAGCTCCAGCGGGTACAGTCTCTGAATGGGTCTGGAGACCTCAGTACCGTCGCTGAGCTGGACTGAAGCCGACCGCGGAAGCCCGTCTCTTCCAGCGTGCAGCTGCGCGATTCTACCTGTTCTCCAAAGAGTTCTGGATGTGGTAGGATTGTCGCCGATGAGCACGAGGTCTCCAACATTTGGTTCGTCAGCTTCTTGTCGTCGGATCGCTCTCAACTCACGGATATACTCATTTTTCCATCTCTTCCACAGATGCGCCAGCACCTGCTGACGATGCCTCCACCGAGCGCCGAGTGCCGATCCGTCCATCCCCGATTCTGTCAGTGACGCATCCGATACTCCGTTTTCCAAGCCAGAAGAGTCTGTGGTAGATTCCAGAAGAAAGTCATTTGGAGACAATGGCCGTGCGTCGTTCAAGTCGTCGCACACCGCCGTCAGGGGTCTTGCGTTGATGACAGCTTCTATACGACATAGGGTGGTCTCCAGCTCTCGGAATGTCAGCAGACTCTTGTGGAGGGTTCTCTTCAGAGCATCTTTTGTAGTCCGAACTAGTCGTTCGTAGAACCCTCCCCACCAAGGCGCCCTGGGCACGTTGAACTTCCACACAACGCCGCGGTTGGCGAGTCGTGCAGCAGCCCCCTGGAAGTTTGTTGCATTGTCACTGAATATGACCTTCGGCAGTCCTCGCCGAGCCACGAACCGTTCGAAGGCTTCCAGGAAGGCAGCAGTTGACAGATCTGTCACCAGCTCAAGATGAACTCCCCTTATTGCAGTGCAAACAAACAGCACGAAGTACGTCTTCACCACTCCGCTGTTCTTGGCGTACAGTGGCCCACCGAGATCAACACCAATCCGTGAGAACGGGTCACCCTTGCACACTCGTTCCTTCGGCAGGGGCGCACTCACTTGACTGTAAGGTTTCACATGAAGCGCACGGCATCGAAGGCAGGAGCCGATTACATGGCGCACCTTTCGTCGGGCTCTAAGGACCCAGAATCTCTCTCTCAGCGCGAACATTGTCTGTTGAACACCCGCGTGGAGCATGCTGTGGTGGAGATGTAGGATGAGCAGGGTGACGTACGGGTGATCAGCTGGCAGCAGAATGGGGTGTTTTTCTGCCTCAGTCAGCTCTGATTCTTGAAGACGCCCTTTCAGCCTCAGCACAGAGTCGCTGACAAAAGGGTTGAGCTGGTACAGGGTTGACGTCACTGGCAGAGTTCCCTCTTCTTCCAGTTGCCTAATTTCTCTCTGGTATTCATCCTGCTGCGTTTGACGAATCCAAAGCATCTGGGCTCTTTCGATCTCCTCTGCTGTTAAGGGACCTGTGGCTGGCGTTTCATGTCTTGACTTTCTTCCCCAGCGAAGAACCCATGCTGTCACGCGATGAAGACGTGTGAGGGTGCTGTAGTCGCTAACTGACATCAGCTGACCGATTCCGACCCTTTCCTCCTGTCTTGTGCTGGCGGGCACCACGATCTTTTGCACCCGCTCTTCATCGTGGCATCCGTCAGGCTCCGGTTCGCTGCTGGATGACCCCGGCCACGAGGATGGTGGGAGACCCAACCAATCCGGTCCGTGAAGCCAGAGGCTACTCTGAAGATAGGAGGCAGGAGTTCCTCGGGATGGCAAGTCGGCGGGGTTGTCACCTCCACTGCAGTGTTTCCAGCTGGCTGGAGAAGATAATTC